CAAACCATTCTATGATTCTATGATTTTATTCTAACTTCTGCCCTTTCAAAAAAGAATTGAGAGAGGCAGCTGGCATGTGCCACAGAAATGCTAGAGGCAAGAAGGTGAGGATAGACTGAGTCTGCAGCAGGCCCTCTTCACTGCTGCCTTCCTCATGCAGTACTAGTAATTCTTTTTGTTCAGGACACTCTGTGGTCCTCTTGCTCAGAGGAAGGAGTTACTGTTCACTCACCATAGCAGTAGCACTGATAATCCAGCCGCCGCCTGCTCCTCCGATCACCAGCATGTCTCCTGTCTTGGAGATGAGAATGGAAGGCACCATTGCTGAGGGAGGCTTCTCACCTAGAGCAGGGCAGAGAGTATTATTCCTCCCATGTGGCTGGAGGGACACACAAGTTTATCTACCTCACCCTTCTTGCATTCCCCATGGAAAACCAAGCTGCTGCTCATTCCTCAAGAAGCTCAAGTCTTCCAGAAAACCAGCTGCTTTCTGCTGAAACCTTTCTCACAGGAAACTGGGCCTTTACAGCAGAGGCTAAATAGGAAGCATCTCTTGGTGCAGGGCATCCTACAAGCATTCAGGACTTGCTGCAGCTCATTCAACCCAGCCAAGGAACCATTAGCAACAATCCTGCCATCGCAGTACTGATGTCCTCTCTCACGGCAGACCCAAGGGAGCTTGCATCAGGGATAACTTACTTCACAAAGCAATGCAATGTCTCTGCATCAACACAACTGTGTTACAGAACTCAGTGTGAGCCTGTAGCATTACTGATTTGATTGTGCACGCAACTATATGCTTCTGCATAGATGAACCTGAAAAGTCAGCAAGCTTATCTTAGCAGGAGTTTCTTCACTTCTTCCCTCCCCATCAATGATCAGCTTCAGCTTTTTTTTTTTTTTTAAAAAAATCTCTGATTTCTCTGGCCAGAAACCAAAACTTCCACGTTTCCATGCAAGCGCATATGTGAGTAGACAAGACACACTATAGGGCTTTATCCTCTGTTAGTCTGAAACAAACTTGCTCTCAGCCAGACCTAGGAAAGGAAAGAGTACCTGCAGTTTAGAGGTAGTCCCTGCCAAGTTGTACATGACCTGCACATCCATCTCCTGACCTTGTGTTTTATTTTGAGAGTAAGAATGCTCACCCGGTTTAATGCTTCTCTTTGCTATGCAGAAATCAGCGAGTTCATTATTTAAAATGATCCCAGTTTGGTTAGAATACACAAAGGATCCAAACCTGCAGGAGGGAAAAGAATCATCCTTTCAGTGCCCAGTGCTCTCCTGTTGTGGGTGACATTAACTGAACCCTGTGGGTTACCTCTGTCTCCTCCCAGCCTGCAGCTGCCCCAGCCAGGGTGTCCAAAAGGTGTTTGTGCTGCTGTGCTGGAGCCAGAGATCAGCTCCCTGGTAGTAGTGGAAGTGGGGATTTGCCCAACCCGCAGAGCTCAGTGAGTTGTTACGTCTTTGCAAATTGTGACATTCCTTTGGGCTGATGCTCTAAGACCTTTGTTGTCCCATGAAAAAGGCATTTGCGGGCAAGAGACTGCCTAGGTCTGTGAAGCCCAAGGGTTTTGCGTTTCTGGTAAACAGCCCTTGCAGGTACCCTGTGAACCTGATACACAGCCTATGTGACTCAATTACCAACTCCTTGGCTACTCACGGGTAGTTGATGGTGCTGGTGGCGGACACGGCACTGCCATCTGCTGCGAGCACAGAGATGTGGCTTGTGCCCTTACTTTTGTATCTGTGGTTGTAGATGGACTCCAACAAGTTGTAATGGTTGGGTGGATGGTCACCACGGTCATCTATTCGGCTTCTGGCAAGCTCAGCAATCTTGTCAGACAGCATGGTCCCCACAGTCACCTGCAACGATAGCAAGGACACTGAGCTTGTGTCACCAAAGCACAGGCATGTCTGTCTTTGGGCACAAGGAAGCCTGGGGGATTCAGCCCCAATAGTCAGAGCTTGGGGACCTGCATTGGCAGCATTCAACCCCAGCCTGAATCCCCAGGCCACCCTCATCACAGAGAATTAAACAAGCTCAGGACATCCTTTATCAGGCAAGTGAGCACCAGCCTACAGCTGAGCAGAAACTGCAGACAAAGTAAATGGCCTAATCCTTCCTCCGCCTTGGCCAGCTGGGCAGCATTGCTCTTGACTAGCAGTTCTAAGTATTTTCTTTCCTTCCATGGCTGCAAACCAGGAGGGTGTCAGAGCATCGCTTGGAACTGGAGCACTGTGCTGCCAGGCAGGACAGTCTGGGTAGCCTGCCTGAGGTCTTTAGCACATAGGCTAAAATGAGTTGGTGACAATGCAGGTTTAAAAAAAAAAAAGCAAGCAGGAAATGGACTTCCCTGCTCACTCTCTGTCAAGCAGCAGTGTAGAAGAAGCTGCCAGTGCTGTGGGTGTTTCTGGCTGCCCTTATGCATCATGCCAGCTCACCTGAGCTTCAGAGAAGGCTGGGTCACTCATCTGGGGTTTTAGCATATTGCCAAACTTCAGGGCCTCTGCAATGTGATGGTAGGTTTCCACCATCTCCTTGGGTGTCGCTAGTGATGCTTCATGGAGTTTATACTCTACAGAGCAGGATGAAATAATTTTGTTAATAGACTCAAGGCAATGTTTTTTTCAAGAATTGTAAAAAAAAAAAAAAAAAAAAAAAAAAAAAAAAAGCTGACAGGAACCTCCTTTTCCCATCACAGTTCTTATCAAGTTTTCCCTTATGCTTTAGCAGGATGTGGGCATGAAAATAACCAAGTACGCCTTTCCACTGTGACTTCAATTCCTCTTGAAGCTTTGGGAAAATAATGTATCCATTGGCCTCTGCAGCAGCTATGGTGATGCTGACCCACTGAGCCAGTTCATCATCCTGCTGCATAGCCTGGTCACACTGCTGCTTTGGAGCCCATACTGGCTCACCAACTCCATTTCTGCCCATTACTTTTCTCCTGCTCTAGAGCAACACTCCTCACAAACCCCTGGCTGCCCCTTTTCCCTTAGGAATTTACCTTCCAATATCTTGAGGATGAACATGAGCACAGCACCTCCCATGGGTGGTCCAGGAGAAAACACTGTGGTGTGATTGTTCAGGGTAATGTTCAGAGCTGAGGACACCTCTGCTTTGTATGTCTGAAGGTCCTCCACTGAGATATTGGACCCTTCAACAGAAAGCCGGAGGGGTAGCTGGCATTAGCACATTAACTTCTACAGGTGCCATAGGCTGGCTACATCAGAGCCTTGGTAAAGCTTGTCAAGAGCCATCCCTGTATGCTCCAAATTTCTTCCACCAAGCACAGCAATGTCGTCATGTGTTATCTACCACCAAACCCCAGGACATCACAAAGCCCAAGGGGGTGGGAGAGGCCAGTGCATGAGCACTATGGATGAATGCCAGAGCAGTAGGTGGCTCTCAGCCCTGCTTCTGGGTGTGAGGTATAAGAATTGGGGAAAGGTGGCCCCTTCCCATGCCAGGTATCACCCCAAGTGGCAAGCAAATGGCATGTGTTGGCTTTCCCCTGGTAAACACTCACTGGTAGCCAATTGCTGGGCAAAAGCCTGTCTATTAGTATTAACTATAGCTGTTACCTACCAGCCTTCCTAATGTCCTCTACCAGGGCCTTTCCTATCTTTCCTTCATAAAATGCTGTAGCTCCGTTTTCCGCAACAGCTTTCAGCGTTTGCTGCAGCGCTGGCCACCTGAAGGTGTCTCCAAGCTTCAAGAACCCTTGACTGTCACATATTAGTGGGCTGTTAAAGAAGAACATCCATCACTTTACATGTGCTTATTCTGTTCCCAGTGCCCATGTCTTTTTCCTACCCAAGGCTGATTTGGTTTATGCATGTTGTATGCTTCCCAAGCCAGTGCTACACTGCAGTCTACATGGAGAAAAGTTCTTCTTATCTGATTACTACCCATACCACCAGACACTCCTTTACCAAAGTTTCCTCCATGGGACCTAACACTTTGACCTTGGCTCAGGTCAGTGGGGCTTCTCCAAATGAGTGTCTGCTGCAGGGCCCTGCCGTCAGGGGACGATTTCCACACAGATGGCAGCAGGCCGAATACAGCCAGCTCCTCCTCATGAGCAGATGTGTTTAGCAGACAGTTTTGCTGTGCGAAGCCACTCTAAATTACAAAAAAAAGGTTGCTGACAGAAAAAAAAAAAATTAAAAAACCCACTTCCGTTATTCCCTCCCTCTCCATAGCAAGTATTCACTGACCGCAAGTCAGAGCAGCAGCCTGTCAGCACGCCAGAGGAAGGGTCTGAAGCTGAGGTAACAGTAGTGTTCACACTGCAATTTAATTTGTGGGTCTTACCACAGGTTTTTTCCTGGAGTGGCGAAGTTTGGGTGATGGATGATTTTGTTCATAACTGGGGAAATGAGAAGTGGCTCTGAAAGGAGCTTAATGGTTGGTTCAAACAGGGCTTTCCATGGCAACCGGCCGTGTCGCTTATGGGCTTCTTCATACCCACGAAGTTCTCCTGGTACAGCAATCCAGCGGGAACCTGAAGAGCAGAACAGCAGTGTCACACCAAGTCACTGACTTGTGGGCTTCACCTCCCTGAAAGCACTCCAATGGAAGTATGGATTTGTAGAGGCAACTAAAGTTTCTAAAAGCAGGCTTGGAGTTTTTTTATTACTTTTTTCTGTTCATGTATTTCCTCCACTACCTAAATAGAAGGGGTATAGAGAAGCTGCAGCCAGACTCAGAGGTGCACAGTGAAAGCACAAGAGGCAACAGGCACATGTTGCAGGAAGGGAGATGGCAGCTGGACGTAAGAGGAAAAGCACTCATGCGGGGCCTGGTCAAACACTGAAACAAATGAAACTGTGAAATTCCCCATCCTTGGAGAAGTTAAAAAATGTGACAGGACAAGGCCCTGAGCAGCCTGAGCTAACTCTGACATCACTGTGCTTTGAGCAGGAGTTGGACCAGACACCTCCACCTGTCCCTTCCAACCACAGCTGTTCCTGATTCCTTTTGAGGCTCTTCTTCCAAGGATAAGACTATATCTCCTCCAGGAACTAGAACATGCCCCAAAAGAAAATGTGCTAGGGAAGGAGAAGGAATGCAACAAGAACTGCGGAGAGATCCAAGATGTGCAGCTAAAGTGAGAGCGCTTGCTGCCAAACTGGTAACAGCAAATGGATGTGGGGCCTCCTCGGATGGGAGTGAGGTGGCAAAGAGGCAGCTGAGCTAAACTGGAGGCCAGCAACTCAGCTCCTGATGCTGCCAGGTTGCTTCTCCAGTGTAAGGACATGGGCAAGTACAGTAGATTATTTCATTTCCAGAAAGTCTGAGCAGCTATCGACCTCATTTTTCTTTGTAAGAACTGCTGGGAAATGAGTGCTTTGGGAAATCTGGTCTTGAAACGCATTCTATGAAGAGAAGTCAAGTTGTGATTTCTCCTCATGCTCTGCTCCCCACCCCCTCGCTGATCAGGTTGCCAAAGTTACTACAAAGCAGGAATTTTTATGGACCTAGTATTTTTTCTTACTTTTGCAAAAGTCAATCCAGTAAAAGTGTGAGCAATTAAACAGAACTTCAGATAAAGTCAGCAAGGTCCTTGGTTCCCCTACCCTGAGCTTTGTGCACCGCACTCCAGGAGGGCACACAGCCATCGTGGCCCAGTCTGTGTCCTTACCAGTGAGATCATCAGTGCAGTGAGACAACAAATTGTGTGGAAACTCTCGTGGGACTGTCTCGCGGGCATTGATCACCTCGACCGTTCCTAGAAAGGAGAAGGGGGAAATTCATAACATTGTCTTCCTGAAGCAGGTGAACATCACACTTCAGCCAGTGGTGAGCACCACGCAGGCTGCTAGCCTGCAGCCTGCAGCCCCGTGCTGAACTGCCCTGAAGCCTCTTGCCAATGTGTCAAGCACACTTGCAGGGTCAGGCTGCAGTCGGCACACGCTGTCATTTGGTGCTGTGCTTTTATGTAAGAGCAAACCGAGCAGTGTCTACCTAGAGACAACGAAGGTACAGGGACAAGGCCATGGCCTGTCTCCAGCCAGTAAAGGTGCCCTCCCCAGGGCTCCTGGACCTGGGACGTAGGCTGGGACATGCTGCTTCACATCTGATTTCCAGGTTCCTGCTCTTCCTCTACAGGTGGGACATGTCAGAGACATAACATGCGCCTCCATGCTCCTTGGTGGGCCATTTTCCAAGTGATGGTGAGGCATGTCCATCATGTTTGTAAGCAGGATGGTGATACTGAAAGACCCTCTATATATCAGGAAGCTTGAAAGGTAAGAAAACCCAAAAAAACCCACCAAAAAAAGCCACACTTGTATACAGTCGATTTCAGTTCTAGCCTATTATTTCACTTCCTTCTTTGCCTTGTGTTTGTCTTTTCCTGTCACAGTCCACAGAGCCAGCTGTGTTGCAGGAACCTATAGTGCTACCTAGGGTACCAAGCACCTGAGCCGTGCATGGCCAGTGCGACTCTGTGCAGCAGGATAATTCAGGTAACAGAAGAGGACTGTTGATAGGAGACAAAGTTACATGGCTCTGCCAAAAGGGAAAAAAAGAAAAATATAGGTGTTATGCCAAATTATGCTATTGCATAAGATAGACCCAATCATTTCCAGACTCGTGACTCTGTGAGACTACTTGGCAGAGTTTTTAAAACTACAATATTGTTATTGTGTTCATTGTTTAATCTAAATTTACTATTTAGGTCTGAGGGCTTTTGGGAGCCAAGGCAGTTTAAAAAAAACCCAACAACCCAACAATAAAAACATCGAAGCAAGAAGGCAAAACTAGAGGTTAAGTTAAACACAGAAGGGCTTCCCAGCAGCCCCTGAACATTGCTAGATTTGGATTTCTGAAGGGAAGATGCACTCTACTCTGCTCTTGTGAGACCCCACCTGGAGTACTGCGTCCAGCTCTGGGGGCCCCAGTACAGGAGAGACATGGAGCTGTTGGAGCGAGTCCAGAGGAGGCCATGAAGCTGATCAGAGGGCTGGAGCACCTCTCCTGTGAGGACAGGCTGACAGACGTGGGATTGTTCAGCCTGGAGAAAAGGTGGCTCCAGGGAGATCTAATTGCGGCTTACCAGTACCTGAAGGGGCTACAGGAAAGATGGTGAGGGACTGTTTATCAGGGAGTGTAGTGGCAGGACAAGGGGTAATGGGTTTAAGCTGAAGGAGCGATCGATTTAGATTAGATGTTAGAAAGAAATTCTTTACTGTTAGAGTGGTGAGGTACTGGAACAGGTTGCCCAGAGAAGCTGTCCAGGCCCCATCCCTGGAAGTGTTCAAGGCCAGGCTGGATGAGGCTTTGGGCAACGTGGTCTAGGGGAGGGTGTCCCTGCCCACGGCAGGGGGGTTGGAACTAGAGGATCTTTGAGGTCCCTTCCAACCCAAACCATTCTATGATTCTATGATTCCATGATTCTATGATCTCCTGGGACAGGAAGGCTCACTGCCGCTTTGGGGAGTCCTACCCACGCCAGCAAGGGCAGCATGAGATGCAGCCCCCCCCCTCCCATGTCAGCAGGCACTGCCTGAGCTGTGGGTGCAGGATGAGCCCCTGAAGTCGAAGCCCAAGGCACAGCTGAACCAGTAACAGTGATAATTTGGGATTGCTTTGGAGGGGGAAGGAGAGGCAAAGTCAGTTCATTTTAAATCCAAAGCTCGTTCCCCCTCACATGTTCTCGGTGTGAAAAGATGCGCTCCCTGTAACAGATGCTTTAGGTTAAGAGCAAAAGCATGGTTTGTAATCAGAGGATGCAGCATTATATTCAAAAAAATTGCTATGAGAGCACACGAAGGATTCTGACTTCTCCATGGCACTGGGTGTCTGCAGGGAGATGAGGCACCATGGAGAGGCCAGCGCTGGCCCATACCTGTGCTGGCATTATAGATGGTAAATATGACCCCGCCACCCAGGCCCGAACTCTGAGGGTTCATCACCGAGGTGCAGATCAAGCCAGCAATAGCAGCATCCACAGCTGTGCCTCCGCTTTTCAGGATGTCCCTGTGGTGGAAATGGGGGAAAAAAGTCATTGTTAAAATCCAAGGATGATAGAATGGAGAAGTTACATGAAAATGTCTCCCTGGGGCACTTGCAAGGCAGCCCAGCTTGACGAGAGCAGCCAGCAGTTAGAGAAAGCTGTTGGCAGCAGTGCGGGATGTGAGAGCGCAGAAAGGTGCCTTCCTTTGTGGGAGTGAGAAAGAAAAATTAGTGGGAAAGAAAGGAGAGTCTGCAGGAGAAAAGAGCAGCCAAGGGACAGACCTGTGCGAGGCTGGTCTTTCTGTGGGCAAAGAGTGATGGGACAGAGAGAACTGTAGCTGCTCACAAGTGCTGTTGACAAAAAGGGACAGTAAGTAGCTCCCAGACGTGGAGGAGGATGCTCTTGGCAGAGAAGAGAGCTTTCCACATGAGAACCAAACAACTGATTTCTAGCTCCCCACCTACCGTTCCCAATAAAAAGGCATATGTTGGTCAACAGGACAGGGCCACTGAAGCGGGAACAATGGGTCCATGTGAAGCAAACTCCTGAGACTTAACATGTCAATTAGCACAAAATTCAGGCCTTACTTCATTGCTCTTACAATGTGTCTTCCTGGGCTTATGTGATATTAGCACAAAAATCCAACCCCCCCTCCATCCCCAAAGGCAAAACAAACGAACAAAAAAACTAAACAGGAAAAAAAAACAAACCAAAACCTCAACTGTTTCTACCTAGGCACAGCCACACCAAGGAACACAGAGGCATCAAGGCAGCCCCATGCTGTTGACAGCAATAAGATTCTGCTAGAGAAACATGCCTCAACAAGTGTTTCCCTCAAGCTCAGCTGTAAAAAAATCTTTTCCTTGCAATGGCAATGTGGTGGGGTGGGGTTTCCTTGCACAGCCTGCCAGTAGCCAGCACTGGTATTTGCGAGGAAGGTTTCTGACTGTTTGGGGGTTATTGCTTAGATAAGGCAAAGCCAGAAAGGAAAGCGGAATAGTTCATTAGTTGGAGAGAAACTGCTCCCAGAGGCTGCGACAGGAACACAGAGCACATACAGGGACTGCTGTTTATTTTACATCCATTTGTGTGGCTGGGACCTACTGGGGCTGGGAACAGGATGCTGCCAGCAAGCACTCTGAGTGTGGCTTTCCTTTGTTTCTGTAAGTGCCTTTGGAACCACTGCCTGTAAGGAAATGGCATGTGGACAAGTGGGGAGAAAAGAAATGCGAGGGAACCACCGGGCTTTCTGTCTAGGGTCTGCATGGTGCTTAGCCTCCTAGCAGCAAGCTGCTCCCTGGCTGTAGCTCTGAAAATGGAGGCTGAGGCTTGCCCATTCATCTCCTTGCAGCAGAGGTAAGACTCTCACCAGATGAATGCCCCTGGGTGGTGTTTTTCTGAAACTGAAGATTTTTAATTCCTAACCATAGAAGGGAAGGACATGAGAGCTTCATGAGAAACTGAGTTATACCTGCAGAAGGCCCAGGAAGCATGTTAGAAAATTGGGGAAGGAGGGGAGAAGGTCCACTACACTGGCGTGGGACAGGGCTCCCCAGAGCCCCTGGATTATGGGCTATGAGGCAGACATGTACAAAGCCTGGTACCGGGGAAAACCATGGTGAAAAACTGAAAAGAAACTTTGAGATTGTATTGTATTATTTTCAGTTGCAATGCATTAAGACCTTAACATGGAAAATAAGACACATTTCTGTCATTTTTCCCAAAACCCAAAAAGCACCAGATCGTCAGCCAACTTTCCAGCCACATTGACAGGTGTGTAAGTGGTTGCACATCTTGCACTGCCTCTTGTCCCAGGAACCTCTTGCCACTTTCCTTCTGAAGTCAGTGCTGTACACCCCTCACTGCATTCCCAGAAACACTTCTGCCTGGAGGAGCACTCCCTGATGACGATCGTTGTCCCTGCTGGTGTCATCTGGTGATGGTCATCTACCTGCTCCAAAAGATGAGCTGTTCCCTTCCCGCACTGATCTGCGCCAAGCCAGCATGCTCTGCACTGGAACTGCATTAACTTAGCATGCTCTAAAGGGTGAGCAATTAATCAATTTATTAATTTAATATTTGTACACCTAGCTGGCCTGTCTCTGAATGATGCTAAGATCTTTTGATGCTTCCGAGTACTTGTCTATAAAAGCACCATTGTAGGCTAAATACCCTTTAAATACCACAAATGTAGTGCCATATGCACCAAGCATACAGACCTCAGAGTTTCTTAGCATGACCTTATCCATGCTCCCTTCCTCCAACACTCCCAATTAGACACAGTGTGAGGATAACACAAGCCATGTAAACTCCAGTCTGTAGCTGTGCCATTGGCTCCCACTGAGATCAGGGAGGAGAAATGGTCTCAATCTCAACAGAAAAGGTGTATCTAACTGCTAAAGAGACCAGAAAACTTCTCCAGGGAGCTGAGACATGGACTGTTACTGCCATTGGCAAAAGGGACACAGATTTCCTGAGAGCATCAAGGAACAAGTGGGAGGAAGACATTCACTGGCCAGTGGAGAGGACTACAGCAGCACTGCCAGGATGGACACATCCTGCCTGGCATGGCCAAGACAAATCAAGTGCTTTTTTATCAGCACTGATTACTCCAGCCTGCTAGTCCACCCAATAGTTTCCAGATGGGTCATGCCCAACACACTGTGCATACCTCAGGAAGGCAGCAAAGCCAGAGACAGTGTTTATTGTTCCTGCTCTGTGCCTAGTACAGTGGCGCCCTGATTCTTCACTGTGACTCCTTGGTGTCAACGCAATATAAAGCAAAAATAATACCAGCAGCCAACACAGGGACATCTTTTCACAGAAAAGCAAAGCATGTTTTGATTTGTCCTTGGTCATTTGCCCTCACTAATTGCATTTTGCAATATAAACAAGATGACAAGAAAAACAGAATTTCCACATAATCCAAAAGTGCTTTCCATTCCTGTCTACTGTGCCTATATCCGTGGCAACTGTCACCTCTGGTGGCAAATACCACATCCAACAACACATACCACTGTTTCTTGCTCAAGGGAAGGAGGGCTTCCCAGTGGCCTGCTGCCTTTCAGTGAACACCGCGGGATGGAGAGCTAAGGCTTCCCATCCACTGGCACAGTGTGTGGCTTCTGAGACCACCTCAGTATGGGATGGTCTGTGTGATGCTAGGCATGGTCCTTTGCCTGCTGCTTCTTTGGGGGACAAGGGTTAGAGGAAAGGGGAGCTGAGATTTCTCCCCAAAAGTAGGCATTATCTTGGCTCTTCCCATCCTGGCAGGAAGCACTCCTAGCCCCAAGTCTCACAGACACATCTTGGAGGGCTTGCACATCACACTGATGTTGTTTCCTTGGCTCTGTGGGGGGGTCCGTGTGCCTGCCAAGTTTTTCACTTGCACCCCAGCACAGAGGGTCCCATGACACAGGACAGGCACAGCAAGCCTTACAGTTGGGTTTTCAGCTTAAGCTCAGAAACAACTGAACCCAGCAAGGGTAAAACCAAATCTTGTTCAGGGTTATTAACAGGATTTCTTTTGAGCTGCTTTGCTCTTTTACCCAGGAGGCCTGATATGTGTCCCCCATCATCAGCACAGGGTCTAGGGCCCACAGCCATCCTCTGCTATCTGCAGCCTGGCCCTCAGTCTCGACAGCTTTCCCTCCAGCCTCTCTAGAGACTGAAACACAACAAAAAAACACTCTCTGAGCTGACTCATCACCTATTGCACTCAGCTCCCCATGCCTGGCTCACCCGCTTTCAGCCAGAGCTCTGCCACTTCCTTGGAAGTGATGCGTGGGGAATTTAAGGCCATTATGTCTTTCTCATCCAGCTAGACTGTCGCATTAGGTTGCTCCTTTTATATGGATGACTGCTACAAATAGCTTAATTATAATGCACATGACCCCTCAATCAACGTGTGGTAGCTTACCAGTTCACTCTAAAGACATCTTAGTGCTACAGCTGACAAGAGCCGATAACAACATGTTTTGTCCTATATCCTTCCTGTCACATAGTTTCAGCTTTAGGTTTGGTCATTAATGGAGTTTCCTTAAAGTCAGGAGCAGAAGAGGATGTTAACAACCAAGTCCCACTGCAGCAACAGCAAAATGAGAATTCACTCTCCCAAGAACGGTAGCACTTTGCTCACACAATCCTCACAGCAAAGGTGGGCTCTACTGGGCTGCAGACCAGGTCTGCTGTTCTGCTCTGGGCTAGAAGGAGCCCTGAAGCCATTTTAAATACACCGTAAATGCTAAGGTATTAAATTATATCGATTTATTTTTTCTGCTAAAGAAAGCTGGGGACTGGGAGGAGACCACCCGTTATATAGCAGCTGCCTGCTTAAGATTTATAAAGAGCAAAAGCAACAGCTGTTTTTGTAAAAATGGGCCAGTTGCCAAATTTAGAACTGTTACAATACAAGAAGAAGGGAAGGCAAATCCTTTGGGACCTAAACATTCTTCAGAAATGCTGCTGGGCTATCACTGAAAAGGATTTTTGCAGCAGATTCTCTGCCTAGAACTGAGCTTCCCAGGACCACAGACATTTTCTAACCATTAAATTCTCACCCTCCCCACCACCCTGTCCCCCAGGCGGCTGTTCATTTCAGAAAAAGCCAGTTCCCAGGGTTTATGCTGGGCTACCCTGGAGAAGTGGGATCAGAGATGGCTGCTGGGCCAGGTCAGGTCAGCTTGCCTTGCTGCAGTGAATCCCATCTCTGGGAATTAGCAATCTTCCTAAATCTCCCTAGCCTTATGCTGGCTTTTGCTTCTGCCATTTGGGAAACAAACCGATGCAGAGCAGTGGATGGCAGATCTCAACCAGCGCACTGGTAGAGAATATAAAGTATTTTGCATGGCTGATGGAAAAAAACCTCTTCCATTGCCAGGAGGGACCAAGTGGCTCAGAGCGGGAGGTGAAGGTGGGTTTGGGTACTGCTTGCTGCCAGGGCAATCACCTCCTGTCTTCTCATGGCTTCCTGACATGAGGACAAATTACTGAGGTGGACTTTGGTACCAAATCCACATCCTTG